AGGATCTTCGGAATCACAACCTTCGGTAACTCTTGTCTCCTCGTTCTCGGGAGGAGGAAGGAAGAAAAGGAAACAGGTGGGGGAGGGGCCCTCGGTTCTCCTTTCCTGTGTGAGTTTGCTTCAAAGGACTCGGAGCGTCGAGTGCGCGTGCACCCTGATCAAATCTGCATGTAAATCGGCGGAATAGGCCAGTCTTCCTGCTCTCGTCCGGACCGAAGCGAAACGAGGCGAGACGAGACGAGGCGAGGCGAAACGAAGCGAAGGAGAGGACGATTCACCGGGGGTTCCGGTGAAACGGGAAAGGAGGAGAGAGCTGGTAGCGGCAGCGAGAGAGAAAGAGAGAGAAAGAAAGAGAGAAGGGCGTACGAAGAGAGGAGAGGAGAGGAAACGATAGACACAGGAGAAGAGAAGGCAACGACGGAAGCGGGTTGCAAGCGGCACGAAGGTCGTTCGTTGCTCGTAACGAAGTGACAGGTCAATATTAACTTGGGCGCCGTTCACTGCTCGTGCGTTCACGAATTCACGTTCGATATCCGCCGGAAGTAATCGAGTTCGCTACGAAATGGAGGCGGCCGACTATCCGCCGATCGGACGCCGCAGATCGCATGGAAATTGCCGTTTCTGCCGGGGCGGCAATTAATCGGACGACTCGTCCAGGCGCCGACAAACGGATAAATAATTGATTCACGCGCGGGACAACGCGAAATGCCGAGACGATTGTTGTTTTGACCATCGACCGCGATCGAACGTTTGTTAACAGGTTTGGCCAACGCCGCGCGCCAAAGGTGTGGTACGCCTTTGACGTCTCACTTCTTGGTGACTAAAGGCAGATTAAATCCGGCAGGAGTGGCAATTTCGCAAATTGAGGTCAGTGTTTTGCTTTGATCGAAAGCTCTCGCTCGCCGAGTTTCGTCTTCGACTCGCCCTCCCTTTTTTTTTTTTCCAGCCTTCGACCTCGCACTCGTGAACGACTTTGGACTTGGAGGTTCTAACGCGATCACCGGCTCTCTCTCGGCTGAGTCGGCAACGTGTTGGCGATTGCGCACCCGATCCCCTGCCGAGCACGCGTGCCCCAGAGTAAAAATCGTCGGAGCAAAACGGAGATGCCGGGCGACACGATTTTTCACGATCAAGTTCAATCGTGGACGGTGGACAACAAACCAGTCGCTGCTTCCCCAGTGGATGCACGGGAGCCGAGGGATGCGCGTTAATCGCGGACAGTGACTAATGTTCCATGGCTGTGAGTAGTGGCGGCGGTGGTCATTCGGATGAAGAGACGTGGAGAAACAAGGGGACCGCTCAGAGGGGAGCGGTAATTCACATGTTAACGTTACACACGAATCTACAGAGCGAGAAATAATTGACGAGAACCTGCAAAAATCCACTCCCCCACCCCCTCGACGTAAATTTTCATTTTCTACGAAAAGTGATGACGCGCCTGGATGGTGAATCTGATCGAGCTGATAGTAACATCGACGAATATTGATCTTTAGGAGATAAATGTCAAATCGTGACTGGGATCTCCTATATCGCGAGATAGCCGCGCCATTACGTTAATGTTTGCGTTAAATGTCCACCAGTTGTCACGTGTGCACTCGCGGTATTTCAAACACGTCGAAAATGTATTCATCACCCTCCATCTTTTTATTTTATTCAGGATTTTGTTTACCCATTTAACCAACCGCTTCTTTCTCCCATTTCTGAGTTTCTCGAGAGATCCAGAGGAAACTCGACTCGAGCGAGAGACGTACGAAGGATCATTAATGGTCGGGAATATTTCTGACGAAGAAAAAGAAAAAAAAAAAAAAATACGAGGGAGTAAAAGAACGCTTGACAGTAAATACCCCGACATGAATCGTTGCTGGGTCATTCCTTACGGTTTCCTTTCAACCATCTTGCAAGCGAAGATGTTTTCACAGCCCCTTCTGAATCATTCGCAAGGCACATGTCGTCTTTGCGTAACAAAGAGACAAATTTCGAGTTTTACGTTTTTTTCCCGCGATACTAAAGGCCATGCCAAAGGCCGTTAACCATTTTGTCATCTCTCGAAAAAAGAATCTCGATGTTCAACTAGAAAGGAAAAATCAAAGATGACCGTGACGCGAAATTGTTACCCTCGTTGTGGATAAAACACCTCCTTACGCTCTGAACTACAGTAATATTTGCCCGAATCGGCTACTTCTTGCCTCTCCCTTCTTCAGTTACGAAACCGAACACCCTTCAATCCGTAACCGCAAATACCCTGAAGCGGCGAGAGGATTCGCTTTAACGGACCGAAGTCGAAATCGCGCCCGCCACCGAGTGAGGAAAAGAGGGATAAAAAAA